CTCGTGCTTGGTATGATCGCTTTCAGACTGTTGTTACTGCACTTGGGTTTCATCCTTCTACTCAGGACTCTACTTTATTTCTTCTCTACACCTCTGCTAGATTTGTTGCCTTAATACTGTATGTGGATGATATGATCATCACTGGCTCCGACTCTTCTACTATCTCTGAGGTCAAGCAATATCTTTTTCGCACCTTTGAAATGAAGGATTTGGGCCCCTTACGGTATCTTCTTGGTATTAAGATAGCTTCTTCTCCCAAAGGCTACTTTCTATCTCAGGCCAAGTATGCCAGTGAGGTTATTCATCGTGCTGGTCTTACTAACACTAAGTTTTCTGAAACCCCCATTGAGCTGAATGTGAAGCTCACCACTACTGATGGTGTTCTTCTAGATGATCCTACTTTATATCGAGAGCTTGTGGGTTGCTTAGTTTATCTGACAGTCACTCGCCCTGATCTTGCCTATGTTGTTCATGTGGTTAGTCAATTCGTTTCTGCTCCTCATTCTACCCATTGGACTGCTTTGGTTCAGATTTTTCGCTATCTCCAGGATACTATATTTTAAGATTTACTGTTGTCTTCTACTTCCTCTTTGGACACAGTGGTTTATGCTAATTCTGATTGGGCTGGTGATGTCACTGATCGCAAGTCCACTTTTGGCTTCCGCATGTTTCTTGGTGATTCTTTGATTTCTTGGAAGAGCAAGAAACAGACTGTTGTTACGCGATCCACTGCCGAGGCTGAGTACCATGCCATGACCCATGCCACTGCTACGATTGTTTGGCTTCGTTGTCTCTTGACTAATTTGGGTGTCCCTCAGTCTTCTCCGACCTCCCTTTACTGTGACAACCGCAGTGTTATTCAGATTGCACATAACACTGTCTTTAATGAGCGGACGAAACACATTGAGATTGATTGTCATTTTGTACGTCAGCATCTGCAGTCTAGCTCCATCTCACTTCCTTTCGTCTCTTCGGCGTTGAAACTTGTTGATTTCTTTACGAAAACTCACAACACTGCTCGCTTTCAGTTTCTTCTAGACAAACTCTCAATGTTTTCTACTAAAACACCATGAGTTTGAGTGGGGATGTGAGAATATTATGTTACTTACATCAATTAGGTTGATTGTATATTTTAGATTGATTGTGTGAATATTAGATTGATTGTATAGGGTTATTATTTCCTATTTCAGATTAGGGTTAGGATTTCTATAAATATTGGTTGTAATCTTTGTATTAGAACAAGTTGAATATATAGAAATATTCAGAAACTTACACAAACATCCACAAATCTCCAAATATTTTGTAGCTTTTTTCTTCTTGGATGGTATATTAGGAAGAAGTGCCCCTCCCCTAAAGGTCAATTGAAGTCTCCTACTCCTATTGGCCATGAAAGACATGCTACCCAAATATCTTAATAAAATTTTTAAACCATTGAAATTTTATTATTGCCATGATGATCACGCTCCAAAAGTTACTTACCAATTCATTTGTTATCACTGCATTGGTAATATATATGAGTGACAGAGTAGAATTTTGTAATAAGGCAGTACGGATGAATATTGATAAATAAAAGAGACGGAAAAGATAAAAAAAAAATAACACAAAGGTTTAACACACAAAGCCCTATGGGCTACAGCCTTCATTCACTCAACTTGATACTCTTGTGTACATAATACACCATATGTATAGAGTGAGAGATACAATCAAAATCCCTTCAGTTAAGGAATTCAAATAAATCAAACATACAAAAAATCATGATAAGCACAAATTATGGGATCTCCATATATTCTATTATCTTCCTTATCTTCTGATATCTTTGACAATATAATCTTATCCCCAATACTCCCCCTCAAGTTGGAACACGGAATAATTGAAATGTCCAACTTAAACTTGTAAATAAAATGATCATTACAAACAACCAAAATGAAGTTACCGAAAGACAACAACAATTGTAATAACTCCCTTCAATGAATATAGGCAAGAAATCAACATCTTGCAATAGAAAAACGTGCATTGAATGAATCATGATGACAGTAAGAGAAACCAACCAAGAGAGAGAAAGCAACAAGGTCGAAGCAACGGCAAATCACCACAAACAGTAAGGCCAAAAAAACGGCGTCCCACAAAGAATGCTACTAAACACACCGATAGCCCAAAAACAAAAAAGAACCAAATATGTGCTTACCACATCAGCACAGGGAACCAAAAAGGGTAAAGTGGTAGCCGAAAAACTCATCGTATCATAGAATAATGCTACCAATCACACCAGCAGTCCCGAAACAAGTAAAAATCACAAAGTTTGCATACCACATCAGCAAACTAGTGGTCAACATAAGGAAAAGAGAAAAACACCTTGACAACAACAACAACAACAACAAAAAATTGTAGAGTGAGAAAACACTCCATAGAGAAACATGCCCACGGTTTGGTAGGCTTTGATATCAAGTTGAATTTTGTAATAAGGCAATAAGGTTGAATATGGAAAGATAATAGAAACATAAAAGATAAAAGAAAGAACATAAAGGTTTAACATGGTGCAGCCAATATTGGCCTACATCCACACACACAAAGCCCTATGGACTACATCTTTTATTCACTCCACTTGATACTCTTATATACATGATACACCATATATCTAGAGTGGGAAATACAAACAAATCCCTTCAGTTAACAACTAAAATAAATCAAAAATACAAAAAAAATCATAATAAGCACAAATTATGGGATGCCCATATATTCTAATATGTTCCATATCTTCTGATATATTTGACAATATAATCTTATCTCAAACAAATAGGGCAGCTTTGGTACATTAAACCAATACAACAGTGACAAATGAGATAATAAATAATTTTTGGTATATAAATGTGGTCCTTTAATGTTGAAATTTACTCTCAACCTACTCCTATCATAGCATTGGTAACATATATGAAATGATATCAATGCTTGCATATGTTGTATAAGTTTCTGTAAAAAACCACAACGAATGTGATCAATTTTCATGCTTGTTATGTACAGTATGGAAAAAGTACCATTATAATCCTTTTTATTTGTGAAACTAATGATATCTTACAATTTTTATGTTTATAGAAGCGTATAACTTATATACGATGTCTTGCTATGAATGAAATAATTAGAACAATCTGAAATAAATTATATTTCATGCATCTCTCTCTCTCTCTCTCTCTCACACACACACACACACACAAACACGAAAAATGCTCAAAGAAACATTCCTTGGTTTATGCAAGGGTTTTATTTAACATGAAGGTTCCATGAATCTTTCCATTTTATATTTTACATCTATGGCTTTTATGTAAGTTAGAATAAGTGCTCAGCTGGAGGTAGGAGAGGATTTAGGAGGGAGCTGTTACGGACCATGGCTACCCCTTAAACTGGAACTTCCTCTTATAAGTTACATTACAATTACATGTTTGATATCACTGATTATTGTGTCCTTTCTCAAATGGAAATTTTAGTCCGTAAACTTTAGTATTTGATTTTTTTCTTAATCAAATTCATGAATCAAAATCTTTCACTGAAATTTCAAAACTAACTTTAGTCTCTCTTACATTATTTCATGGTTATTGTGCATACAGATATTTAATATTAATAGTGTATATATATGTATGCAGAAATATGCATTTAAGGGGAAGGCAAGGTGCTAATTTCAACTACATATAATTTAACTTGTGAGATTGGATTTTTCCATGCAGTATTATACTATTGCCCAATTATTTTAGGAGGTATGCATTCTTTTTTTTGTGTGTGCGCGAGCACACAGATACTTGATAGGTCTATATTGCATCCTCCAATCGTCCCAAAAATGAGAAGCCAGAGTAATTACTCAATCTGCCCTGGCCAGTGTAATTGCATGTGTATATTAGAAGCCAAGCTTTACATAATATTCAGTTTGAATCACTAGAATAAGGCCATGACAACTATCAAAATTTTATAGGGAATCATAAAAGGGGAAAGGTAATACTATATACAGGTTTTCCATATTGAAAGGAAAGAGAAGCATCTTATTGCATACGTGATGATAAATATAGCATAGGCATTCTGGCATAAATCTCAAGTTAGCAGCTTCCCCCCATATGAGAAGATATAGCGCCATGTACAGTAATTTCCGTTGCTGCACTTCCTGTTGAATAGTTGGCAACCTGCAAATGAAGAATAACCACAACTTACAACACTTACAAATTAAGAAAGTTATAAATGAATCTAAGCATCAATCTCTAATTAACCAAAAAGAAAAAAAGATATGTATGGAATACGGAGGAAGAAAACTGACACTCATGAGAGGAATAAAATCATTCCACTAAGCCAAAAAAATTATACAACAATAAAAAAGAATAATAAAATCTTTACTCACCAAAGACTACTTTTGCGACGCAAAAACTTGCACCATTTTTTGTAGTTTTTGAAAAGTTTCTTCATAACTTCTGTAAGTGCACGGTCATCCAACTAAACAGGTATATGTTATGAATAATGGTGTCACTTTAAAAGTAAAAAATTTACAAGCCAACACAATTTGTGACATAATACCCTAGGTTGCTGATCAGGCTTTGGAGATTTTCGAATGTGCACATTCGCCAGCAACAAAATTAAGTGCTCCCTTTGATTTGCTACATTATCCTTCTGCACACATCAATAGTAAACAGAATATATCCCCTCACGAATTAAATGAAAAGAAGGCATCGAAAGAATCAATTCAGTCACCTGAAATCCAAACATAGCTTGAAGCCAGTCTAGAATGTCTTCATCTACTTTCTTCTTGTGCCCCTTGGGCCATGGCAGACCCCTGTTGTTTCGAAGAGCAGAAACAGAAGCTTGAATCTGAAAATTAAACAGTGAAGGTATTAAGAAGGTATTAAGAAGGTACTAGAAATATATATAATTGAAAAAATCAAGAAAGCTGCACATGAAATTCATAAACCAACCTCAGGGTATTTCATAATCGCTTGATTTGAGCTGTCAGGATCAAGAGGCAGTATATTATAAGGCACATATATCTCTGTCTTTTCTGCAACTTTTTTCTGAGTTTGCAAAACCTACAAATACATGCAAGTCCATACACTAAATATGCAAGAAAACTACTACAAGCACAACAAAGTTCTAAATAGATACAAGTTTGTCTTAGCATAGACAAAACTGATATAACAATTTCCTTAAATAAATGACAGTATTAAAAAAATCACCAATCAAAAAAAATTCGGTTACACCTCATCCGCCAATTCAACAGATTCTGTCAGATTAACAGCCTTCAAAACGTCAAACAGAACAGCAGCAGTTTGATATGCTTTTGTAAGCCGAGCACTGAATTAGGGAAAAAAACAAACACTTCCTATCAAATAAAGCATAATGCAGGAAGGCCACATCTCCAAGCAGATAATCAGAGGATGCCCTTTGACAATTTACCGATCTGCTTTATCAGCGGCATTCTGCAAAGCCTGGATATATTTGTTGTAGTAATGCTGATAAAAACTCTGCATTTCACGAGCATCACTTTTTGTCCTTCCCGCTAATGTTGTTTCATTTTCCTGAAAAGAAAGGAATGGTTCAATAATATTTACTGTGCACCTTTAAATGGAGATCCTTGAGGAGAAAGGCAAAAGTGTGTGGCAATACAGTGAGTGCATGTTTGTTTGCAGGATAAAATGCAGGATAATAGGTTGAAAAACATCTAGGCCCCACCTGAAAGTTAATCCCACTTTTGATTGCAGGATGAGGAAGGAAGGATCACCTGGGCCCACATGTTTTCAGTCCAACATTTGTTTAGCACGGTATAGAAACTCCGGATAATTTTAATACTTGTATGAGGGATTAAATGGGGGAAAATGGGGATTAAGTAATACCAGGGGGATTAAGTAATGCCATAGGAATTGTGCCATCCAATGGCAAAAAATAATTATATCTTTTTATCACATCCTAACCAAACATAATACCCTAATTCCTCTATCCAATCATTTATCCCATGGTATAGTTTATCCCCATAATACTATCCATAAACCTATCATATATCCAATACTACATCACATCTAATCCAATAACATTACTCATTCCCCACAATCCTATCAATAATCCCATTTATATCCAATCCCATCAAAAATAATATATCAATCAAATGTTCAAGTGATGTACTTGTACCTATAACCATATAAATATGTCACAGCAATCATACAAGTAATAAAATTATTTTGTGTTGAGAATAGAAGTACAATCTCATACGTGGGCATGTACTTGAGTACACATGGGTAAAACTATATTCCTTCTAAAAAGTGACAGCCTTTTGTCCTTTTAACAACACCATTTCCAGCACCTTTAATCAAATGCCATTGACCCTGCTAAACTTATTAGCATGTAAGCTTGTTAGCCTCACCGAGCCAAGGGAAAAATTACACAAACTTTGTTTGTTTCTTTATCAACCTGAAAATTTACACTTGAACTATGCCTTTTTTCTTAACAAATAAGCTCAGGCTAGCTATTGAAGAAGCCAAACCCAAACAACTCACAAGCTGCTCAGCTCATTTAACATCCCTGTAGATAAAGTCTTTTTTCAGTCTTATCAAAGGAAATAGAAAATATCAACGTTGAAATGATGACAAATTATTATATCAACCAAAACCACTGAGATAAGAATGCAGAGAGACCATACTGAAGAGGTATAGAGACAATCACAAAGATAAGATATTAGTAAACATACACAGAAAAAAAATGTCATTGTTTTCTACTATGCGTTTCCCATATGTTTATTAAAATATTCAAAAAAAGAATATTTTCTTTTTCCAACCATCTAAATTTAGGTGTCCAGAGATATGTTTGTCAAAAATATGTAAAGTTAAAACTTAGCTCTCAAGTATAATAAGCAATTTATTTATCTCAACATTCTTAAAGATTATATCGTCAAGAAAAAAGAACTATGTGGTAAGCACATCAATTGTATTTTAACCACTTATTCACATACCCTTTCTAAGCGTTGAAGAAGGGCAGTTTTGAATTGGCGAACTCCACGCCCACTTGATGTTGGATCTAGTCTGTGAGCTTTTTCAAAGGCATAGAACCGACCTGATCCCAGTAAAGGCATCAATATCCATAAGAGTTCAGATTGAATTTAAGTTCAAAAAGACCATTGCATTTTTTCAGGAACAACAACTGAGCAGAATAATATCACTCTAACATGATATACTATTAAATTCAATGTGCATGGGAGAGAAGAAAATAATCAAGCTTCGCAGGAACAAAGACAAAAACCATATATCATATTAAAATAGGGAAACTAAGCAAACGGTGAATGAGTAAAAAGGACTGCAAACAAAGAAAGAAAAGATAGTCTTAAACGTTGCCCTCATTTGAAAATTGAACCTAATGGAGATTGGTTAACAAAATAACAACCATGTTTGCATTGTCTTGTTGGATGTTTCAATCATTGGAAGTTCTGACCGGTTTGATATGCTTTTGTAAGCCGAGCACTGAATTAGGGAAAAAAACAAACACTTCCTATCAAATAAAGCATAATGCAGGAAGGCCACATCTCCAAGCAGATAATCAGAGGATGCCCTTTGACAATTTACCGATCTGCTTTATCAGCGGCATTCTGCAAAGCCTGGATATATTTGTTGTAGTAATGCTGATAAAAACTCTGCATTTCACGAGCATCACTTTTTGTCCTTCCCGCTAATGTTGTTTCATTTTCCTGAAAAGAAAGGAATGGTTCAATAATATTTACTGTGCACCTTTAAATGGAGATCCTTGAGGAGAAAGGCAAAAGTGTGTGGCAATACAGTGAGTGCATGTTTGTTTGGAGGATAAAATGCAGGATAAGAGGTTGAAAAACATCTAGGCCCCACCTGAAAGTTAATCCCACTTTTGATTGCAGGATGAGGAAGGAAGGATCACCTGGGCCCACATGTTTTCAGTCCAACATTTGTTTAGCACGGTATATAATAGTTTAAACATAAAACACGAACAGATCAATCATACTGTCAACAGATAAAATGCAATTCAAACAGATGTATTCACTCAATTCAGTTTCAATTTCGGTCAGTCAGTTCAGTACTTTAATCAGTTCAATTCTCAGTCAGTTATCAGTCATTATCAGTTCCGTTTAACAGTAATCGGTGATTATCGGTAATCAATCAGTCATTAATCGGTGAACAGTATGAGGGTTGTTACACTCTCCCTCCCTTTGGAAAGAGAAAACAGAGAAAACAGGAGCCGATTCTCAAACCGAAGCAAAGCACAAAAGAGCCCCAAAGTCCGGAGGCAAGGCTCGTAGCCGAGACTCCGCAACCTCAGAACGAGCACAATATGCAACATCACCGAGCGCTCAATTGGTGACGTCTGAGTCTTAAGGTCGGTCAAAAATGGGGTGTCTATACTACTAAAACTAATGCCCAAACAAGTACTACTGTGGTGGCTGCAATTGCACCAACCCCCCTGTCATGACCCGAACCCGCCCCTATAGGTTAAGGACACAACCGGCCAGTAATCCTGAGATTACCTACGGCCTCAACTAAAACAAACGTAACTCAACAGAGTAAAGGGGCCAAACGGAAGCAAAAATTTAAAACTTTGTCCACAGAGTCGTGCTTATATGCACATCAAAACAAACCACTTACATATACGTTAATAACCCACATCAAAAGTACAATACCATAAAATTCTTTACAGACAGGATCACTCAAACTGAGTCAACCCATAACAGAATATATACAAATGTACCCAAGCCCTCGCCAACATGACAAAATACAATATATATAACAAAATGGCAAGGATGGGTCTCATGCGTGAGACATAAGGGCTGACTCTCCAAAAACCTTTGTTGTTCCTGACAGACTTCACTGGGGCTAGGTTTGGGCCTCCCTTAGCTCACCTACAAACACATGAATGAGCGTGAGCGATAGCCCAGTGAATAATATCAAATACAGATGTTACATAACAATATGTAGAACAACATGCTCCAAATGGCCTTGGGCCCAATTCATACTTCTATTTAACAGATATATATAACTATGCGAAATTCAATCAAGTAACTGTGGTTCTAAACATTCTGGCCTTTGGCCCATTCAGGTTTCCATTCATGGCAAAACGGCATTCGCCCCATTCACTTATGTCGAAACGGCTTTTGCCCATTCATTTCTGTCAAAATGGCCTTCGGCCCATTCGTTTGTGTCAAACAACCTTCGGCTCACTCGTTCATGTCAAAACGGCCTTCGGCCCACTCATCCATGTCAAAACGACCTTCGGTCTGTTCATTTCTATCAAAACGACCTCTGGTCCATTTATCATTTTCAGAACTACCTTTGGTCCATTTATCATTATCAAAACGACCTTTGGTCCAATTATCCATTCATGTCAGACTTTTGTCCACAATCCCAATTAGCAACTCATAAAGCTTATAAGGGAATGCACAATTGGACATTGATAAGCTTTCAGATATCGATATTACTCACAGTGATCGGCTTGTGGATTCGCGCTGGAGCTTGACCCTACACATTTCATGAACACAAAAGGGTCACTAACAGTTAAATCCGTTCTTTAATTCACAGATTCCTCTTTAGGCTTTATTCTTATCTCATTAACTCGTTTACAACGTTTAACACATGCCTAAGAGCGATTACAAGTGAAAGAGAACGGAAAATGAAACACGGAACGCATGAACAAAATTTCAAAAAACAGGGTCCCCGCTCGAGCGTGAACTTCCCCGCTCGAGCGTGGACTTCCCCGCTCAAGCGAACCCAAGAGGCCTGCAAAAGTAATGGTTACATCAAAATTAAGCTCGAGCGTGAGTTAGGGCGTTCGAGCGGAAGGCCTGTCTACGAAAACTCCCCGCTCAAGCGTGAGATATCCCACTCAAGTGGACATCCAACTCTGCAAAAAGTGCTGGAAGCACGATTTCTCCGCTCGAGCGGCCCTTCCCCCCGCTCGAGCCGAAGTCAAAATTCTGGAAATTCTAGGTTGTGTTCTTGAGCTCCAAATCAATTTTCCAGCTACATTACTTGCATACAATGGCTCAAATCTCAAATATAATCATACCAACATGGCACCAACGCAAGATTATAACATTATGAAGCTCAATCTCTTGATTTATCTACATGCATGTGATGAATTAGCCACATTCTCAACTTAGACAACACAAATGGTAATCAAAACATGAGTTCCTTTTAACATTTCACATGGATTATACACATTTGTTTTCAAACATGCACAAACATGCAATTTCAAGGTGAGTCTTTACATGCATGCACATATTAAGCTTCAATTCAACAATTCCAACACAATTTCATTTCAATCTCACTCTTGATCACCAAATTAGCTTGAACACACAAAATTACAAGCTTTAATCCAAGAATTACTCACCTAGAAGCTTTGATCTTCTAAGCCCTAGTCAATTCTTGAGCTAAATCTCCAAAACTTCCAAGCTTTAAGCCAAATTAGCACAATTCCTCTCCCTTTCTCTCACTATGGCCGGCCCTCTCTTCCTCCCAATTGTCTAACTCAGATTTTGAGCTCATATGAGTTAAAGGGGAGTATAGTGCTATTATACAACAAGGCCCACTAACATAATATTTCACTATAAAATATTTGGGAACTTAATTCATCAATTATATCAATTTAATCTGACCTGAATCAATTTTCGATTAAATTTCACCGTAGGCTCTAAAAATTATGCCAATCACAATGGCGTAATCAATTTCGGGTTCCGCGGCCGATAAGGCCTTCAATTTAATTTCCAAAGCAGATTATTTAGACAGATATTCCTACGGTGAACAGATAAAACTTCAAAATCACATATATTCATATAATGGCACATAAAATCATACTAAACGCATAATCATACTGAAATTAAGGACCAATTAGCATACTACGGAACAGGGGTGTCACACCCCCCCTCCTGTGATGACAGTACCAATAAATCATGGAGAGAAGCCAGAGAAGTTCTCAGGAACTGATTTTAAAAGATGGCAACAGAAAATGTTGTTCTATCTTACAACTCTGAACCTGGCTCATTTCCTCTGTGAAGATGCTCCTATCCTGAAAGACGATGAAACCGACCGGCAAGTGGTTACTGCGGTTGATGCTTGGAAACATGCCGATTTCCTTTGCCGGAACTACATCTTAAACGGACTTGACAACACATTGTACAACGTCTACAGTCCAATCAAGACAGCAAAGGAACTTTAGGAATCGTTGGAGAAAAAGTACAAAACGCAAGATGCCGACTCAAAGAAATTTGTGGTTGGCAGATTCCTGGATTTTGTAATGCTTGATTCAAAAACTGTGATCAGCCAAGCTCAAGATTTCCAACTCATTCTACATGACATTCACGCAGAAGGTATGTCTCTCAGTGAATCCTTTAATTGAAAAATTACCAAAAGGCTGGAAGGAATTCAAGAACTACCTCAAACACAAGCACAAAGAAATTTCTATGGACGAATTAATTGTGTGTTTGAGAATTAAGGAGGACAACCGCAATTCTGAAAAGCAGGCTGGTAAGTATCCTATGGAGTCTAAGGCAAATGTGGTGGAGCATGCTTCAAAAACCAAGAAACAAAAGTCTTCTGGAGAAAGTTCATCACAAGGCTCTAAAGGAGGGGATAATAAAAAGTACAAGTTTAATGGCAAATGTTATATCTGTGACAAAGAAGGACATCGGGCCAAAGATTGCCGTAGCAAAGGCAAAAGTAAAAGAAGAACAAGCAAGAAGCCTACTCAAGCCCATATGACCGAAGTGGATAATATTTCCAATGGTGTCGAAGACATCAATCTTTCTGCAGTTGTTTCCGAGGCAAATCTTGTCGAAAATCCTAAAGAATGGTGGGTGGACATTGGTGCTACTCGCCATATCTGTGCCAACAAAAAGATGTTCACATCTTATTCTACAATGGACAATGGTGAACAACTTTTTATGGGCAACTCCTCAACTTCCAAAGTTGAAGGACAAGGAAAGATTGTACTTAAGATGACATCTGGAAAGGAACTCACTCTCAACAATGTGTTGCATATACCGGACATTTGCAAGAATTTAGTTTCCGGATCTTTGTTGAGTAAGAATGGGTTTAGGCTAGTTTTTGAAAGTGACAAGTTTGTACTTACCAAAAACGGGATGTATGTAGGAAAAGGTTACATGTCTGATGGCTTTTTCAAATTAAATGTAATAACCGTTGTACTCTCAGTTATTAATAATACATCTTCTTCTTACTTGCTTGAGTCTTCAAATTTATGGCATGGTAGACTAGGACATGTTAATTATGGATCTCATTCCTATAACGTATGAATTTAATATATTTGGAATGTTTACCTAAATTTGATTATTGATTCAAATCATAAAACTGTGAAAATTTGTGTTGAGGCCAAAATTTATCTAAAATTCCTTTTCATTCAATTTTGAAAGAGTACGGA